TCAAAGATACGGTTTAGTAGTGGATAGGTATGGTTGGACTCGATGATCTCAGAGGTCTTTTCCAACCAGGTGATTCTATGATTCTATGAAAGGACTGCTGGAGAGAGTTTCAGTCCCCCATCTCGCTGAAATATGGTCACCCTTGGTAGCAGACAGGCTACACTTGGCTGGGTTTTAATCTGAGTGCTGTTACAGCCTGTCCCTCACAACGTACTCAGAAAGATCCAATCTGATTTGTATTTGAGCCCCCAGGCATTACTGTAGTACAAATGTCAAATGGTAATCTGTCTCTAAAAGCAGTGGCATATTCTGTGATTTCAAACATCACAGACCTAAGGACCAGAGACATCAGATGGATTCTCCACATGTGATTATATTGCTACTGGATCAGGCCTCAGATTAATATGTGCTAGTGGATTGAAATTTAGGGGGAAAAATTGAGAAAACGGGAAGGGCTTGTTACAATATCTCTAACTTCACTGAACATTCTATTTAGTTTGGAAGTGGACAGAGCAGTAACACTATTCTATCTGTCCTGGTGCTGTAAAACTTTCAAGAGGGAGCTTGAGGTTTTCTGTCAATAGCTTCAGCTCTCTAAAATACCGGACATTGTGGTTTAAGCTGTCGGATTTTCTCAGTTGGAATGATGATGTTGAAACCTAATCACTTAGTAGTCCCTCTTTATATTAGTCAGGGTTGTCAAATCTTAGATATGTACCTTTAGAATTGGAAGTTAACTAGATAGTTAAGTGTTCCAAGCAGAAAAAAGTTGTTGCATCTTTATGTCTTAAAGTATTTTAAAGCATATCTGATTTTCAGCTGTAGGTCCAATTGTGGCAGGGTGAATCCACAAATACTCTCAATACAATTGATATCAATAGCAGTAGATTTGAAGTATCCCAGACTTCAGTAGCAGTCTGAAATGGTACTCAAGGACCTCAACAAATTTGTACAGGAGGTTCTTAGAGTCGTGCTACTGTTTTCCCTGCCCCTCTGCTGTCAAGCTGTCCCCACTCTCATTGCAATTGTTTTGCTATATGAACACACATACCCTTTGTTTTGAGAGCAGACTTTTTCTTCCTGGTGTTACGTATCTCAAAAGACATTAATATGACCTTAAAAAGACATTAAAAGATCTTAAAATGAAAAATAGCGTTTTAGACTGATAAATCTAGCTTTGTTCACTATACTGTAATTGCATTTGAAAAAGGGAAAAATTATTTTCTATTGCATATAGGAAGGAAGACTCCCAGGAAAAAAAAAAAAAAATAGAAAGCTGTAAAAGTCTGTAGTATTCATAATTTAGCAAATAAAGGTAACTAATGAGTAGCTCAAAGTACATGTTGGATTTCATTTTAGGACTAATGGCATTGTCTGTGAGGAGCTGTGCCAGAGATCACAATCTTTGGTTGTGTTTTTAGCTTAAGTTAAATCATGCCTAAATTTCCAAAGTGATGTTACTAATCAGTATTGTGCAAATAATTGTTTTTCTGGATTAACTTATGTCTTTGTTATATTTTATAGGGTTTTAGATAAATATATGGACATGTTGAGCTCATTGGGAAATGACCTATTTGGTTACATTTCAGATAAACAGCATCTGACTGTGCTTGCTAGAGAGGAGCCCTCCCTGTTCTTAGCAAATCCATTTCCTCATTTTAACTTCTGAGTAAAATCATACAAGGAAGAACAAGGGAATATCATCAGTCTCATTTAACTCTCAGAAGTGGAAAAACGTGACCCCTAAACCCACAGAGAGCTTGAAGGGGAATTTATCCAAAGGGTGTGTTTTGACCCTGTAAAGCAAAACAAACTGAGTTAACTGTTTTCTTAGGAAGAAGAATATGCACAGGGTTATGTAGCAGGTCAGTGCAAACAACTGGAAGTAACCACTCTTTTTTGGCTCATCTTTTCTCATAAACACAAAACTGAGCCTGCCAGATACTTAGCCCAGAGTTTTCATTTGCTTGCTTCTCTGTGCTGCAGTCCACATTTTTGGGTGCCAGCATATTGCTGGATCTTTCTGGAAAATTATAGGTAACTCTTGCAGTCTGTTAAAAAAAATGTATGCTACTAAACTGTACAATAAAAATTACAGTTATTTGGCTGTACTAGTTTGCCTGCTAAGCCTTATCTTTACCCGTTAACTCTACATATCCCTGTACATCTTACACATATGGTTAAAGTAAGCCAGGTTGTTGTTCAGTACCTTTCAACAAATTAATCAAAATTAGGGAAAGGAGAAACCAGCCAATTTGTATTGAGGATAGTGGTGCAAAGTCTAACCACATAAGGCCTGGAACCCCTAGGGAAATCCCATCTTCTGCAGCATGTCTCTGACCTCCTCCTGCCTCTCCTCTCCCCAAACACATGTAGCTTTGCAGTCAGTGGTCATACTGCATTTCAGTACTGTGCAGAAAGGGCGATGTCTTGTCAATAGTTCTTGTAACAGTATTAGTTAGATAAAGTTTCTTCACTGTTCAAATTGTGCAAAGCATACTATTCTGCTGAGGATAACTTGTTTTCCTGTAGTCTTAGCCATCTTCTAGTGTTAAACAGATCTCTTTTTTTCTCCCCACATCCCTGCAAGATAAATAACATTCTGTTCTATTTTACTGTATTTTATTTTTGCAGTATATCAATTACACGAGTCACAGCAGACATCTCGCTTGCCAAACGCTCAGTATTAAACAACCCCAGTAAGCATGCGATAATAGAGCGATCTAACACAAGATCAAGCTTAGGTAAGTACTTATAATAGTGCTATCTACAACGTGGCTGTAAAGTGTACTACTCTCAATTCATATCTATAAGCTAAAAATAGCCTTCTTTCTGCTGCAAGAAAATAATAATTCCCATAATTCAGAAATCCTGGTGCTAGAAATCATTTTAAATTCACTACCAGATAAACTTCATGCAGTGCCGATTTTTGTTTATCCTGCCTACGTTCAGTTTTCATGTTTTGCTGTTTGCCTCAGTGGGAAGAAGTAGCCTTCCATAAGGTAAATAAAATCTTAAGAGATATTCTGCTGGTTAAATAGAAGTCATGTTTTCAGAATACCTGAAATTACATGGATATTATTTGTATTTTGCATTTTCTGTGATAAGTTTACTAGTAGTGATAGCTACTGATATTAGACATGAAAAATATTGTTGATGGACACATTTTCTGAATGTAATATCAGTTTAAACTAATGTGGATGTTCATACAATAAATGAAAGATGAAAAAGGGGAGATGTTTTTAAAAAACTATATAGCTAAGTTCATAGCATATGTCATCTTACATGTCTTTTTGTATGGAAGCTTGTCCAGTTGTATAAGTAATTACACATTTATTAGCCAGAAAGAAAAGCAAGCTTAGCTGGGAAGATGTAACTAATTGTCACCATCTACAGTACAGGTGGCTACACTGAAGCTTGCCATCCCACACTGTCCTTAGAGTAGACAGGAAAAGGTGGTCACTCTGGAGTCTCAGCTCATGTGGACTGACCTCAGCCTTTCCTCTAGCACAAGATGTATTCTATCTGAGACTCCACCTCTGCAGCTGGCTCGTTCCCTGTGTAGGGACTCCTTGGAGGTAGCCAAGGTGAATCCTACCAGGAGTCGAAGTACTTGTGTTAGGACACTCAACTGAGATATGGGACACTCAAGTTCAAGTTCGTACTCAAATACAGAAAAGGAGGAACTTGAACTCTAATGAACTCAATGATCTTAACTGTCTTTTCCAATCCAGGCAATTCTGTAATGTCCTAGATCGCAGTTGAATGCTCCAGCCAGGTCTCTGTCTTTAAAAGGCCGCAGATTTCTCTTAGTAGCCTTTGAAAGAGCTTGGTTTCCTCTGAACACAGCATTGTATCTTGAAGTCTTGTAAAATTTTTGGAACAGGAAGAGAGTCTCATCCATCCTACTAAAGGAGTTCTTCTTTATCAATTTTATAACAAAAATTCTGAGTACGCCTGTACTTTGACTCCATATTTAACATTTGCCTAATATAGCTGTCCTTCTTAGAATGAGCTTCTCTGCCTTAAAAAGTTTTACTTTCCTTTCATGAAAATTTGCCACTTCAAACCCTTACTTTGAGCTATGTGGAGGCTGTGAATCTTTCCTTGCAAATAGTCTGATAGCTTCCAAGTATGTCTTAATTTAAGTGTTTTCAAATATCAAAATGCATCATACTGTAACAACATGATTAATATCTCTTCACACAAGAATATTCTCCTATGTGAACTTCAGTCTTGTTACCAAAGTTTATTTAATAACCTAATGAAAAGATAAAGTGTAACTTGTTTTGAATAGAACTGAAAATTGATAATAAAGATGGAGGTCACCCACTTGTGGAACAAACAGAATCATGGTGATTAATTTCCCAACCTGAACATCAAAGCATGTGCAATTTTGTGCAATACTGCATAAATACATGCAGCAGTGAAAAGCGTATCATCTCTTCCTCATGCTAAAATATTTTCATAAATGTAAAAGAGCTATCACAAAAATTTATCCAGGGAAAAAAAGTCTCTTAAAAACTAAATGCAGCCCAATCATGTACCCCTTTATCTCATGGTAACTTTACCCTTAAGAAGATCTTCCCTTTGGGTCAAGGTATTTTGGTAGAGGTATTTAAAATGGAAGTTCTGACACAACCTCAGTTGGAGATACCCAAAAGATGACAGTGATTATGTACATATGTAAATATGTGGATAGATGCGTCTCTCTAGTTTTTGGAACAGTCCTTTTATTATTACCTAAGATTTCCTGCTACATATCAGGTTTTTAGTTGCTTTTAATTGTTCTAAATATTGAGCGATTTATAAAATCAGTTTGAATTCCCTTGAGAAATATTATTTAGAGCAAGTAGGTCATTTTAACAATGAAGTTAGGGGAAAAATTAATTTTACCTAGGTTAAAATAGTCTCAAAACCCTTTCTTTCAGAAGCTGTAATACTCCCATCCTTCTAATAATCTAGCAGGGTTTTGAAATTTGGTAGTGGATTGAACAGTATTTCAATTACATGTTTCTGGGCATTTTTTATTAAAATAACGAGAAAACTTCAACAAATTATTAGAAGCTGCTGTTAGCACATGCCAAGCTTTGCATCTGAATTCCTTAACGACTTGGCTCTCCCTGGACCTGGGCAATATCCAGCAATGAGGCTGAGCAGAACCTGCCCCTAGCAGATTAGATTGGGGCAGCCAAACCAAACTGAAGCAGGAAGGTGCTCATCTTTCAGCTTTCAATCCCTACTTTGCTGTGCAGCATGGCCTATGGAGTAAAAAGTTGTTTACTTTAGAGATACTCAACTGGGGCAGCAGGTGGTTGGGCTGAAGGAGAAAGGTGAGTAGTGAAAATTCATTATGGAAAAGATTGGAGTTATGGAACAGGAGCTGGGATAGTTGTACCCACTGTTGAAGTAGCTCCAGGGTCCATGCTCCAAACATGGGGTAAATCATGGGAGGACAAAAACCAGACAGGAAGGAAGCCAGGGGAGGGAAACAATGTGGTTGGGAAGAAATCTGAGATAGGGAACTGCTTTTATGTGGCAATGGGAAAACCCTTGTGCGAGGGCAAAAGAAAGAAATTACAGGGATTGTTACAGCCTCTTCCCTTGCTTGCCTGCAGTGTACCTCAAGGTAGAAATAGGGTCAGAATCAGAAAATATAATTGTATCCTGCTAGTAGATGACCTTTTCTAGCAGTGGCTCACAAAGATGACAACAGACCACTGCTGTGAGTACTTAGTTGGCTCAAGTAGCAGAGGTTGAGTGGCAATATCACACCATATAGTGGAATTTTTATTTTCCATTTGTGTGATGAATTTGCTATAAGTCATCAAAAATGCTATTAAAAGAATATTATTAGGTTTACGAACTCAAATTGTGCAAAATAAAGGTTAGGAAGCAATAGTAAGAAGGTTAACTGTGCAACTTCTTAGTACCTTTAGGTCGTGTATGCTGTGATTCAGTCTTCTTATGTGTTATGTATTGCAGACTACTTTAACACCAATCCTCTGCCTCAGTTTTTTTAAAAAATGTACAAACTAATGGTGGGGAATTGGAATTGGCTCAATGAATTTCTGTTTTGCTTGCTATGGAAATTGTGCAATGTATGAGACAAGAAACTTCAGGAAGGCAAGTGAAGTTCTCTGAAAGCACAACAGGGCATTTTCAGTTTAAATCTAGGAGGAGCAGGATAAGAAATAGTGATTTGGCCAAAACTTTTTGTGGCATTAAAATAATTTTTAACAGGAAAGGTTTCTTGGGTCCATGATTGAGTTAGTAATTGTAGAGGAAACTCCTTCATCACCCATCTTCTACCCTCCAAGGAGCTCATACCTAAGCAATTATAACACACACTTGGGATGTAGGGCACACAGAGTCAGCTTCTGCTATATCTGGTTTGGAACAGGGATCTGAATTTCAGTCTTAGAGCGTACTGAGCACTGGTTTATCTCTGTTGGTTCAGCAAACGTTGATTCTCTGTTGAAAAAAGAGAGAGCCTCAGTGAGAGAGGGGGGTCTGCTGCCTACAACATAGCCTGTAAGCTACAGCATGGCAGCATGACATGCCATGAGCCTCTCTTCTGAATCCCAGAAGCCTGCACACCTCACCCAGGGCCAACAGGTAGCCCCTTGGCACCACTGAGGGTTCAGTGCCAGAGATGGCACACTGTAAAGCTCACCAAGGTAGTACAGTGCCTGCAGCACAGTGACTGCCTGTGCCTGGAGCCACGGTCGGCGCCGACAGAGGATGGAGGCACAGAGGGAAGGGGCATCCCCTTGCTCCCCTTCCTGCCGGGCCCCTCTCCGCTGCCTCCTTCCCTGTTGCCGGCAGTCCTGGCTCACCCCATCAGAGGCGAGGTGCAGTGCTGAGGGGTAGAAAGGGAGACTTTATTACTGAATTAACTGAAGAGCCCGATGCAATAGTGTCTTTTGCCGCTTCTGATACCGTGTTCCTGTAGAGTATTGGACTAGTTATTTGCAGGCTTTATAAAGATGGCTATTTTTTTCCCAGTGTTTTCTGCATGCCTCAAGCATGATTTGTAGAAGTACTGAGTATCGTGGCTGAAACTGAGATTCAGGCTTTGAACCTGTCAAACAATAATGTGTGTCAAAATCAGTGCGTTGCATGGTAATGCACTGATTTGGAAAATTCAGATGGAAACCAGACAGTATTTTATGGACTACTGGAGCTACTGTTGAGTACCTTGTGAAATACCGAGCCTTATGGCTCCTCACTCCCCAGAAGTCCTCTTATTTTAGGCTCTCTTCTCTGCAGACATTTAACTGCAGAGCTATTCTTCTCATTCCCAGCCTAGCTCAAAGAATTTTTCCCTTCTCTCAGATCAGTACTGATACCATGTACTGACAGTACAGAGCAGCATCAGGAATGTCCTGAGTCTTAGTACTGACTTCTAAATGACTCTTAAAGTTTACATTCCATTTTGGAAGAATCCCCATTTTTCTAGTTTGAATGTAATTTTTACTGTGGTAATTACTCCAAAGGATCAAGCACTACATTTCTGAAACTTAACCTCCCCAAAATTAGTGATAATTTGTGATTATTCTTTGTAATTCATTTTCCTATCTGGAAAATCTAAGTAATTCCAGCTTCTCACCTGACCAGGATGTTTCAAAGTGTAAAATCATTTTATTGCATCAGTTAAGTACCACTACAGTGAGTTCCATAAAAAAGCCCACAAATAATGTATTCATTCTGTTTTCAGAGAAAGATTAGAACTATGTGCTCAAAATGAGACATGAAACACATATTTGACAATGAAGAGAAAGTGAGTGATTCAATAGCTGCTTATCAGTTGACAGTGTATTGAATTGTGGAGTGATTGAGACAGCCCTACAGAAACAACTTTATTATCTGTTCCTGAGCATGCTATCTTATAATACAGACCACAAAAAGTTTTGATTTATGAAAGCTATCTTGTCATTTCCGAATTTATTAGTATTAGCTTTGCAGCCAAATAATATTCTCTTCTAATACAAGTTTCAGTCATAGATAAATCACTGAGTCGGGACTCAGGTTACATTAGTTCTTTTCTAGTATCTGCTGCAGATCTGCTGAGAGGTCCTGGGAAGTGAGTTTTTTCTCTACCTACATTGTCCCTTGTAAAAAATAAGAATAATACGGCCTTTTCTCCAAATTGCTGAAAAATGAAAGACAGAATTGCACTAAATTTGTGCCTTTTTTTTTTCCCCCAACTATCTACAATGACTTAGCTCTGGACTAGATATTTTAAAATAGTATTTATTGCAATAAAATTTGATCTTGTTAATGAAAAAATGGGGTTTGGTTTGGTTTGCTCTGAGTCTCCTGGCTGCACGGCTCTGGGACATGGGGGACATGAGTTGCTGTCTCTCTCTCTCCCCTCCTTGAACAGTCAGTGCTGCATGGACTAAGACCCAGGTGTTTATTTCTATGTCTGGTATAATTTGAAAATGACTTTTTGTTATAGCAAATACAGCTCCCCAGAACTACTCTATGTTAATCTACATCCCTCCCTCCTTCCAGGTTCAATGGGAAGCTATTCCTTTACTCACCCACCTTTGGGTAGCGGTACCTCATGCAGCTAGACAGTCAAGCTACTGATTTATCCCTCAGCTATGCTCATGTTTGTGAGCAGTAGTTGTAACTGCAGCAGAGAAGGCTGTTTCTTAGACTTTTTAAAAAGTATTGTTCATTTTTATGTATTATTTGAATAAGTGTTCTATCAAAGAGTACATGTAGTACAAAGATAATGTGCTTGATATATTAATACCAAAGCAATTCCCCTCTTCTTGACAACAGCTCTTAACCTTATCACCCAATATAGGTTTGCAGTATTGTGCATATTGTTCGTAACTGTGCATAGCAGTGGAGTGAGCACCATTATTTGGAACTGATTTAATAGATAGCCCAGAATTAACTTCAAGGAGGCACAGACAAACAATGTGATAATCAGGGGTAGGAATTGCCATGAGGAAATGGCTTTACAGGATTATAGGGAAGTCTCAAAGGGCTTAATGCTACAAACACCTATCAGCTAAAAGTTTGCTTCTGTAAAGGAATCAGTTAAAAATAAACTTAGGATTTACTCATTGGAAACCAATGCTACCACTGAATATTCTGGTGTAAAATTCATGTATCCAAGAATTTTATAAAAATAGTGTCAGTCTTGTAAATATTTAGGACAGTACGATCTTACTCCCCTCCTATAGGAAAGCATGTTTTGTATATAAAGAGAAATGTTTGCTTGTCAATAATGTTCTGTGTTTAATATCTGAAGTGCTACAATGAAATTTAAGGAAAGGGCAATTGATTAATTTCTTTAAAACTTTAGAAGAAATCTGTAATTTTGAAAATACTTTTCTCTCCAAGAAGGTATAGTGCATAGTTAAATCACATTCATCTGAAAATCAGTCTTAGTTAAAT